GAAAGCACAGATTTATAGTCCTGTGATTATTTTAAAACTTAATGCATGCTTAGAATTTGAGTGTTGACAGTGGTTTGGAGTTGTCTCCCAAAGCTGAGTGACTGTGTGTCCGTTGTTAGCTCTGAGCACAGCCAGGGGGTAGTTCTGTGGAGGTGCACGAGGCCCAGTGTTTCCCGAGGGGCCTCCTGGGACCCCCAGCCCGACTCCCTCCCCGGGCAGCGGGCAGCGTGAGGTGGGGCACTAAGACTCACGGGTAATAACAACAACTAACAGCTGTATTAACACTTACAAACCCAGATTCAGTAAGTGTGCTACAAAGTAGCAAAGAAGGTGTCAGTGTACTCGGCACCTCTGATCTTGTAGGTGCTGGCATAGCTGCATCCTGCATGGGTGGTCCTCTTACAAAAGCACAAAAAACGAAAAAAACAAACGTGAGCTCAAACCACCTCATCAATGAGAGAGCCTGACCCCTGACCCCCCGAAGAGAGCAGCAATGATAAGAAGAATTTCAGGGCGTCGGCCACTGGCAGTGACCCAGGGATCCAAGAGGCAACTGGTGGGGGGTGGGGGGTCATACCAACGGGGACCGGTGATTTCAGCACACGAGCAATCGGATTTGTTTTTGATATGCAAAATTTTATTAAGCAATAGCTGGACAATTCTTACAATTTCAAATCATCAAGAAAAAAATAAGATTGATTCATTTCAATAATAAAGACAGAAAAGAACTTGGACAAACCGCACCATGTTAAATGCAAACCATGAATGCCTTCTAGAACATCTCCTGCACAGTCTGACACACAACGTACGTAAGAAGAGAGGCAATTCGGGCTGAGCTCATCAGAATGCAACCGGGCACCTCAACAGGTCTTGCCTGGGAAGTACCACGGGGCGGGATGCGGGGCTGACGGACTGAGAACAAGCCAGCACGAGCGGGCAGCGGGCCGTCCCCGTGGTCGGACGAGAACGGGCTGGTGGTCGGGCTGGTCCGGGCCGTGCCCTGCGCTGTGCACTCGCAGTTAAAAAAAAAAAAAAAAAGACAAGGAGAAAGAAACGGCCAGTAGTGAGAAACTCAGCAATTACGTCCAAATTTACAGTACCCAAATAATGCATTCATGAACAAACGCAAAACCAGTACCCCCTTGGTACACAATGTAGTGCCTTTTTCAGTCAAACGCATAGCCCATGCTTTCCCACAACACCAAAGAAAACATTTTATCTACAACAAACGAGATCTCAGAACCCCACCCCTCCCCTTTGAAAGAACTCGTGAACAGAAAATACAGGTACAAGTAAAGTTACAAGAAAATTGCACAAAGCCAAAGAAATGAAATCAAATAAGCTACAACCCTTCAGAGTTTTATCAGTCGGAGATAGAAAATACACAAATGATGAAGTTTTGAGTTGTGTTCTAGTACAAAATCTCAAGAACTCAAACGACATTTTTGACACCATTTGTCTCAACTTTGTTCACAACTGTGGACTTGGCCGAGTGACAATGGCCCGCACCGGGACACACGGGCTCCTCCCCAGGGCCCAGTGTGGCAGCCCAGCGCCGCAGCGCACACCCGGGCGTCCCAGGCGGCCTCCGCCCACACTCCTCCGCCTGTCCTCAACCCGCTCTGTGCTCTTTGGGGCAGGTGGTGACTTTTTCAGGGCTGTTCCCAAGGGCGGCCACTGAGCAGGGTGCACCTGTGGGGAGGCTCCTCTGACTTAGCTGGAACTGGTGCTTTTGTCTAATTTTATGAAAACAAACACAATTCCAGATGCATTTTTCTAGAGGTGAATCTTCTCAAGATATTGTTGTAAATGCCCTGACTTACATTCAGTAGAAAGCTCATTAACACAGGAAAAAAAACCATTTCTCTCCGGAAAGGCCAGGGTTGGAGACATACCTCCTGCGTGTGCACAGTGGAGGGAGGAACCAGACAGGAGTGGGGACACTGCCTGGGCTGCCCCTCCGTCTCGCAGACGGACAGACGGAGGCCCACAGTCGCCCTCCAACTCTGCGGCGGGGCGGGCTCCGTCCCGGGTCTCCTGGCTTTCCGCTCTGATGGCAGGACCAATGTGCACGTGCCTGCGCGTCCTCGTGGGACACTTGACAAGGGTACGGTGGCCATGGATGGACAATGCTAACCCTCACGGCCCTGAACTGTACTGCCACTGGAGCTGAGACATTTCTGCGTCCTCTTCACTGGTTTTTTCAGAACAGTCAGTCAGTGGAGGACGTGTATACAAATCTGTGCCTCTGGTTCCATAAAGTTACAATTAAAACAAGTTTAAAATCGGTTTTTGTGTTGGTTAATATACTGCTTCCCTCAAAAAGTCATGGAGTTTTCATGTAGTTGACTGTTTACTGGGCTAATATTTTTAAATGTAGGGATTCAATGAGGTTTTTTAATACTCATAAACTGCTGCTAATCAACATAAAGCATGTAGAATTCTGCTGCTGAAAGTACTGACTTTAGTAGTATTTGACAAATTGAGACTAAAAAGAATTTTTAAAATAAGCAAAGGCATCACCATCACATCTGAAATTACCTGCTCCTCAGGGCGGGGTGGGCCAGGGCGGCGCTCACTCGCGTGTGCAAAACATCCACAATGGAGGCCTCTGTCTCCATGCGGAGGGGATGCTTGCTGGGCAGTGGGTGAGAACTTAGTAAGTTTAGTAGTTGTTACATACACTCATGTTTTCTTCTCACATGTATTTGTAGTAGCATGAATTCCAAGGATTTCCTCCTATATTTGTTCTTATGAAGTTCTAAAAAGTATCCCCTTTCATGGTTTTTATATCTCAAAAACTAATCAGAATTTTATTTATTTAAATTTTTAATGTATTTTTTTTTTTTTTTTTTGTTTTTTTTTGTTTTTTTTTAGATTTTTTTAAAATTTATTTTTAGAGAGAGGGGAAGGGAAGGAGAGAGGGGGAGAAACATCAATATGTGGTTGTCTCTTATGCGCCCCCTACTGGGGACCTGGCCTGCAACCCTGGCATGTGCCCTGACTGGGAATCGAACTGGCAACCTTCTGGTCCGCAGGCCAGCACTCAATCCACTGAGCAATACCAGCCAGGGCCCAATTAGAATTTTAAAAACTGAAACATCACTAGTAATTCCTTCTCTTGCTAGTCTCATTCTAATAAGTCTTCTCTCATTTCCTATCACCTTTTATTTTTAATTAAAAATATTCAAAAGTAGGGAAAATATTTTAGGATATATTATCTCAAAGAAATCTCCTTTATATATAATCAATACCACAAAAAAAGCAAAATGCAAAATGAAAAAAAAAAAACCAAAAAACCCAGAAAAAAAATTCCCAATTAGAAAAGATTATAAACAGTCCAGAAAAAGAAAACCCACAAAAAAACCCACCCCCCCACAAGGCCCTATTGTATCTTCTTTATTTCTTACAGCAAAATATACTGCTACCCAGCAAATCATTACAAGCAAACTATTTTCCTAAATAAATAATAGCAATGGGCATAACTCACCAGTACATAGTAACAAAGAAATTCCTAAGAACACTATTAAAGCAAGATAAATCATTTTCTCTTGGACAGTAACACAGAGAATTGCATTTAAATTATTTTAGAAATAGGTTATAATCATATTGCACAACTAATAGTAACCACTGAAACATCATCTCAAACTACAAAAACTCACATAAAAGAATTATTTAAATCTGAACGCATCACTACATTCTCTTTGGAAGAATTTACCCAACAAGAATCAGGTCCAGTATTTGGAACTGTAAGAGGGGAAGCTCTGGCCCAGCCGGACGATGTCCTCACCCTATTTAAACCCTCCGCTGTGTCTCTGTGGGGGCTGGGAGGAACGGCGGGTGATGGGCGGCAGGCTGCTCTGGGGAAAGAACGAAACGGTTTCTCCTCTAATTTGTAAACCAAAACAGGGACTTAAAAAGATATTAAAAAAAAAATTTAAAATATGTTAAAGTCAAAGTAGGGAATTAGAAAGAAGAATTTTTTGAAATGGTTTTCTGTAGTATTTTCCACTTTCGTGTTTTCACACAAAACCCAAACCCAGGGTAGCGCCTGTGCTCCTGCCCGAGACAACACCACACTGAACGACTGAGAACAATGAACTGGGTCGTGGCACCAGGGCTGGACGCGGCCCACGGTGTCCCCTGAGGACGAGGTGAGGCGGGAAGAGAGAACCTCGGCGGATTTTTTGCAATGAACAAACAGCAGTCGGCCGACTACCACAAAGGTCACGCTGCCACCTTGCTGTCCCCGCGGCGCACCTCCTTAGCGGACGGTCCTCACCGCCACCAAGCACCTTCCTCCCAGGGAAGACCGCGGGCCCGCTGTGGAAGAGTTTCCTGCGCCTCCCTCTTCATACCCTGGCAAATGCTGAAGATTTTTTGCTGACATTTCTAACCTGCTGGAAACATTTCTAGTCAACTGAATTTCAATGTAGCCGAGAAGAGGAAAGGACAGCTTCCATAGTGGCACCGTCAGCGTTTTCAGAAGTGCAGGACAGTGCGGTCTGGTGGGAAGGACGGTGTCTACAGCCACGTTTCCAGACCCAGCGACAGAAGGGAAGAGAGGCAAACGCTGCTTCCCAGCGAGCGGGCCCCAGCGACTGGCCGTGGCTCTCACCGAGACAGCTGCTGCCCCGCACCTGCATGCTGGGACCAGTCCACGTGGGTCTCCCGCTCCTCCCGCCAGACGGACGCACGGACCAGACCTGCGGGACTGGGACGTGCTCTAAAACTAGTGGCGTCTTCAGTGTAAACAACCTCCGCAGAGGAGCATAGCCCTTGTGCGCGTGCAGGGGGTTCACTCTCACCCACCACCCTCCCCCGCACCCTCAGGGGCGCATCGTGCTCCCGCCTGGTAGCAGCACCCCCATGCAAGGCCTACTCTTATTAGTCAAACAGTGCATTTGCCAAGATACCTTTCAGTAACCAAGTCACCTTTGGGGGAGTGACCTAATATGTGTGAATTAAATGTTAGCCCCCAAGAGAACCTGTACCTTTGGAATTTTTGGTTGTGTTTTTTTTAAAAAAGTTTTTTTTTGTTTTGTTTTGTTTTTTTGTTTTTACACTAGGGATGTTGCAGAGAATAAAAAGAACGCACACTCCTTGCGTCTGAAAGAACAGCAGGCTACACAAGGCAGTCTGTCCTCCTCAGGGGCCGGGGCCCCTGGCCCGCAGCTGGCATAAGCTAACCCGGTGGGGCGTGACCACGAGCAATCACATTTCTAAAAGGACACCAGGTGCCTGGCCCTCTGCTTCTACACACCACACTCCTGTATTCTGTTTTGCTTGATTAAAAAGAAAGAAGAAAGACAAAAAGGAATAATAAAAGCCTAAAGAAATGACAATGCTAAAGGTCAGCGCCCTCCCCTGGGCCTGACGGACTTTTCCAGTTGGCTCTCGTCTTCTGGTCCCCACCCCCCCCCAGCACCCGCGCCCCATGCGGCTCCTCCAGCATCCAGACCGGACCTCTCCGAAAAGGGTCCTCTGCCTCTGGCTGCCCCGGGAGCCGTGTCTTCACTTGAGGCGCTGAGTCACGTTGGCCAGGGCCACCGCGAAGGCCTGCACGGCCGAGAAGGGGTACTGGAAGTCCAGGATGTACGCGTTGCCGTCGATCCTTCCAAACTGCATCACCTGGGGGGGGGTGAGGCAAAGGCGTTAAAGGAAAACGAGGCGGGGCAGGGCGAGCAGGTCTGCGTGGCCCCGACGGAGGCAGGCAGCACAGCCCGTGCGGCACTTCTGCCAACAAAGTGACGGTGGCGGGCTTCCGCGTCCGATGACGAGTTTGCCAGAAACCAAGGAACAGAAAACATGTTCCACCACACAGCGGGGAGGGCAATGAGTAAAATTCAGGGTGGGAGAAGCTCCACCGGTCAATGAAGTGGTTTCCTCACAGGGAAAAAGACAGGAGAAAGTAAAAAAAAGAATCTATAGACGAAAGAGGCTTAAGAGAAATACCAACTGTCATTGCCAAATGCTACTGCTGAGAGGGGGAACCCAGCGCACCTCCATTCCCGCTGCGCTCCCCTCCTGAGCCTGCTCTCCCCTGTCCCTTCACATAACTGTGACAGGACGCTACATGTACGAACTTGTTTGTGATCTTTAAAAAAAATTTTAAAGTGATTTTTAGACAGAGAGAGAGGAAGGGAAGAAGAGAGAGAGAGAAGCACTAATCGGGTGCCTGCCGTACATGCCCCGACCGGGGATCAAACCCGCAAGCTAACTGTGTGCCCCGACCTGGAATCCAACCAGCAGCCTTTTGCTGTGCAGGAGGGTGCTCCAGCCAGCTGAGCCACAGGCCAGGGTCAGTGCAAATGCTTAACTCTGCTGCTCTAGGGCGAAAGCAGCCACAGAGGATGTGTGAGTGGATGGGCGTGGCTGTGCCGCAACAGAACCGGATAGAAAGCAGCAGCAGCCCAGCCTGCGGGCCAGCCTGCCAATTCCTTGCTCAGAAGATTGCCAAGCACATAGCAGGCCCTCAATAAATACTTGTTGTGTGGATTAATGGAAACGAGACTTGAGTATGAGAGGTGCAGGGAGTTCCGGGGACAGGGGAGACGGCCATCCCAGGGAAGCAGCTCTGTGGCAGCGCCTCGGGGAGCGGCGGGCGGGGCAGGAAGAGCTGACGAACCACCCACCGTGTTCAACTGCACCAAGAGGGGGTTCGCACGCTGCCTCCGCAGAACCAGGGAATGACTTAACAGTAAACACATGGAGAAGCAAGCACCTGGGTGATGATTACGTCCAGGGGGAAAGCTACACAATAAAAAAGGAACGTACCTGAGCCCTACCCCATGGCTCGGCTGGAACACGTTCACCGGCACAACGAGGCAGCCGGTGACTACGGATAAAACTTACAGGGGGGGAAGGGGGTAGGAGTTCACACCCCAGGCACCCCCGGTTAGCCTGGCCCCATCTGAGAGGGTCAGTGGTTTTCCACATTTCCCAGGCGGCCTTTGGAAAACGCTCCGCAAGGGCCAAAGCACTGAGACCCTTCACGCGGTTCGAAAAGCCCGCAGAGACCTGCCGAAGGCCAGGAAGGCCCGATTCCGGCCAAGCCCCCGGCCCCCTTACCTGCCGCCCCTCCAGCTCGATCTGGAAGTTCTTGGCCGACTCTTGGGTCACGCGCCCGCCAAAGTCCAGCTGGTACACCTGGGTGGCTTCGTTCCAGAGGGGCTGCTTGTTGGCCATGACGTACACGAAGCCCTGGCTGCCCAGCCGCCCGTCCTCGCGCTCACTGGCCTTGCGGCACTTGAACTCCTCCAGCTCGCTGGCCGCCCGCAGGCTCCTCTTGCTCTTCCAGCCCTTCTTGCTGCCCTGGCTCTGGTTCATGAGCTCGTCCCCACTGATGAACAGCTCGGGCTCGCTCTCCGAGCTGTCCTGGAACTCGTTCGTCTTGTTCAGCTTCTTCGACTTCAGCTGGTCCTTCTGACTCTTCACCTTCTTCTTCTCTCTCCCCAGGCGGGGGCTGGAGATCAGGGAGTTGAAGTCACTCAGAGTCCGAGCCTCCTTCTTCCCCTTGCCCTCAGTGATGGCCTGCACGTTTCCTTCCTCCGCCCGGCTGTCCAGGCGCTTCCGGTTCTTCTTTCCGAACTTCTCCGTCCGCTGGGGAACCGGGCTTTCCGTCAGGGAGAGGACCTCCTGGAAGTTGTCAGTGGTCTCCACCATCACCTCTGCCCCCAGGTGGCTCTGGAGGTCAGAGGACGGTGGGGACACGAGGGGCTTCTCCGCAAGCAGGTGTGCCTTGGCGGGGAGAGTGCCCTGGGGGTTCTGCACGGGCGGGCACGCGCTGTAGGAACTCCAGGGGTGCAAGGCGACGGACGGCAGCTGTAAACTCGAGCACGCGCTGCTTCCAGGGTACATGGGCGGCAAGGTGCAGTAGGCCAGGCTGGGCGGGTAGGCCGGCTGCAGGACCATCGCGGGCTCCTGCTGCACAAACTGTGCTGGAGACAGGGTGCCTTTCGGGGAGCAGGGGGCCTGCACTCCTGGCAAAGGAGGGCTGGTGTAGCTTCCCGGATACGGCACCCCCACCCCATAGCCTGTCTGGAAAGTGGCAGTAGGGCTGGTGGGAGACTTGGGGGAGACAAAGGGCACTCGGGACACATCCAGGTGCTGGCTCTGACCTACCACCAGAGGGGACAGTTTCAGCAGGTTGGACACTCCAGACTGTCCTGTCCTTCCCTGAGGCACCCAGACGTCCTCCCCCAGCACAGTGTCCCAGTGGTAAGGGGGTGGCCGTTTCACAGCCACGGCGGCGTCGGGCAGCACAGGGTGCCTCGGGGGCTTCTCAGCCGGCAGGTGGTGGGCGAGCGCCTCGTCCTCGGTGAAGGCCGAGTTGACGTAGTCGGTGCGCTCGCGGGTGCCGTCGGGTGGGCTCAGGAGGCTGTAGGAGGACTGCGACTGTGAGGCCAGCGGGGAGGTGCCGGCTGCGTGCGCAGCCCCCGGGCCCTGCTCGGGCCGCCCCGCCGCACCCCCGCTGCTGCACTGGCTGCAGGTGTAGAGGGCGGCCTGGGGTCGCGCGGGGAACTGCGCCGTGCCCTTGGGCTTGGCCGGGTGCTGCAAGGGCAGGTGCTGCGGCAGGGCCCGCAGGGACTCAGCCGGAGCCGCGGCCCTGAGCACCACGTCGCGGTTATTCCTGCGCAGCGTGGCGTGGATGAGGCCGCCGTCCAGCCGCTGTGCCGCCGCCACCCGGCCCGCGACAAGCGGGCCAGCCAGGTCAGGATACGGGGGCGGGTCTCCGGCGGGGATGGAGTAACGCGGGACCGTCAGACGGTTCAGGGTGGCACTGGCGCAGGGCTGGGGCACCTTCTTCTCGGTGGCGGTGAGCCTCAGGGTGGCCGAGCTGCCGGGGCCGGGGAGCGTGTAGGTGTTCTGCGAGCACAGCACCCGCGTCCGGGGCCGGCACACCTCCTCCACGTTGCCGCTGCTGTCGAAGGTGGTGATCCTCTCGTAGCCCAGGGGCGGCTGGTAATGCACCGCGGCGGGGTACAGCGGGAAGTCGCCCTTCTTCAAGCACACGTCCACAGGGGGCTGCGGGGGCGGCGGCGCTGCCGTGGTGGGGGCAGCGGGGATGGTTCCCGGGTAGGGCGGTGGGGGGTTCAGCTTGGCCACCTGGACCTCCTGGGGGGCGCCGAATACCACGGCATCCCCCTCGGCGGTCAGCTGCGTGGGCCGCAGCGCCTTGGCTGGCTTCTGCAGGTGCTCGTGCTCACGGTCTCCCAGCTCCACCACTGACAGCGGGACCGCCCCCTGCATGGGTGGCGGCAGGGGCAGCTGGGGGGCGCTTGGGATCATACGGCTCATCTCCACTCCGCCGAAGATCACCTGCCCGGGGCTGGAGTAGCGGTTGGAGACCGGGTACTGGTTAGCATTCTCACTTCCGTGCTCAGCGGCGCCCACAGTGGTGGTCTGGTTGGTCAGGACGTCCAGCTGCACGTTCTGATTGGCCAGCAGGGACTGCACCAGGCCGATGCTCTGCGTGGGGGACATGGCCTGCGCGGAGCTGTGGATGGGCGCGATAGGGATGTTCACGGTACAGGGCGGGTTGTTCTCGGGCACGCCGGACGCTCCCGTCACTGGAAGGGAGAGAGACAAGCTGCTTATTACAAAGTCGTGCCACGGAACCGGGTCTGAGTAAGAAACACCTCTCAACTCATCCGGTCTTTGGCACGCAAAGTGACATTGCTATCGACGGAGACGCCTTTGCTTGGGGGGAGCTGGACTGTCACACAAGTTACACAGGGCTCCTCCGGTGTTCCCGAGAGGGCACCCACGCAACTAACTGGTGGGTCCCGCAGGGCAGCCTGCCGGCGGCCCCTCGGCTAAGGGTACTGTCAGGGCTTTCCAGCGAACACACTCGAGCCTTCTCGGTTTGGTGCCGTGTGCTCACGTGCACCGTGGCAGACGCTTGACTGTCTAAACACGGTTTTCACTCCTGGTGCTCCAGGTAGGTTTATCCACGGTAACGGACTGGTCGCTGCAGGACGGGACTGCAGCGGACCGCATACCTCTGTCTGATAACCCTATGTAAATTAAGTTCCTATAAATAGAACCACGTGAAATGGAGCGAAGAAACCAATGAAAAGAATCCTCATTAGCAAATCTGAAGATTAGGGGAAAGCTATTTCCTAGTTGATCTGTTCTCAGCATTGCAAACGGTATGCAAGGTGAAGCCACGCTGAACGAAACCCTGTGGACACATTTTGTCTGCTGCGTGTGGCAGGACCCCGGCACGCACTTGAGCCATGACCTGCACGCTCTGGTGAGTGCTCAGAGCCCCTGTTCTGCACCGCCCTGTCTACCGTGACCACGGAGCAACTTGCTCGCCTGGGCCTCCCCGAGGACTGTGTGGCAACCGGCACTAAGCAGGAAGCAGGATTTAACAGAGTAATTATAAAGGCTGGATGACCTTTCACTGGAACTACAGAACGAGGCCAACTGGTTCATCAAAAGCTGAGCCCACCCTCGGGGCCTGCAAGAGATGCCCCCCTCCACCCCAGTCCACTGGTGAGACGCGCTCCCGCCTGGCCGCCCGGGTCTGGGCCCTGTCTCAAGTTCTCTAGCGTCCCCGTCCAGACCCCTCTTCCCGGAGTTCTCTCCCCAGGAGGGTAGGCATCATCCCTGCTGAAGGACAGTCTCTGCGCTGTATGGCCAGCATTAAGTGTAAGTCCTGAGACAAAGTGTCGCCTCCTGTCCCTGGGACCACAGACAAGAACAGCAGAGCATCAGAGAGCAGGGTGGGCTTGCAGGGGACCACGTAAGAGAGACCTCCACATCCAAGGTGCCGAAACAGCAGGGGCCCAGCCAGAAAGCTCAGGTGGGCAGGGCTCGGCCCCGCTGCGGGTTTCTGTGGTTGCAAGCCTGTCACATTAGGACTGCGGTAGTCCAGAACACGGGTTCCACCTAGGATGGCTGCTGTCAGGAAGCACAGGGCAGATCGCCTGACAGGCAATGATCTGTCCAATGAGAGAAGGGCTGAGAGGAGGGAAGCCGCTTCCCCAGGCTCAGAGCCTAAACGGTGTGCGTGTCCCTCCCTGTCCCATGCAAGGCCCACGGGTCCTCAGACGAAGGAGAAGGCAGGGCTCCCCTGGCTCAGAAGCCAGGGCCCCTCAGAGCCGGGCCGGGGTGAGAGCAGAGGGGTCTCTCCAGCATTTGTAACACTGAAGGCGGACTTCCTTGAGAACAGCTACACACAAGTAACTGGCAGACCAATTACAAATCATTCTAATCTGTTCATCAAAATAGGGCCCCCCTCTAGAAATCACTACAGATATTCGAAAATTTTGTAACCTGGGATTTTAAAAACATGTGCCCAATTTTACCTTTAACTCAGACCAGGCTTCTACACACTGAGACATGTACTCCACGCTGGGAGGTGTCTCAATGCACAGGTGTTCGGCCCGGAGACACTGGGCTCCGTGGGAAGCACGGGATCATTCAAGTGACGCCCTGTCCTGAGCAGGGACTACAGGACGAGGGCTAGCCCAGGGCCAACGAGGCTGGGCGCGGTTCTGATGCCATCGGGTCCTGGCAGCCCCCGACATCTCTGTGCCTGCACGCGGCTAGGACTGCCGTGCAGGCGGAACAGAGGGTGCGAGTGGTCTGTGAACGTCAGGCACGCGGCCACCTCGGTCCATGCTCTGGTCGCTTCCCTCTTCCCCCAGCGACTGATGGCACCTGACCCTTCTCCGGTGTCGTGCCACCACATCCAGCAGCCTCACTGAGAGAGAAGTCACGCCTTCCCCACACAGAGGCAGCAGGCGCAGGCTGCCACACTATCATCCCGTTGGAGGTTGTCCAGGAGAGGAGACCACCACCCGCTGACCTGAGGGCTGGGCCCGGGCAGCTAGAGGCTCCCCACCCCGGAACCCGGGACGTGCCTCCTCTTTGCCCTTCCCGCTCCTAGAAGCTACTGTAAGGATACAGCCTTGGGACAGAAACGTGTGGCTTTGGGACTGTCCGGGTGGTGTACGTGACCGATCCCAGGTAGGGGCTCCACGCACCCTTCCCAGATTCTGGCTGCGGGGGCAGAAACCTACCAGTCTCACAGCCGCCCGAATGCGCCCCGTCAGTCCCGTGCTCACTGAGGCCGCCGCCGCCGCCTGCCCGTCTGCAGTGGCCTGCCTCTTTGGTCTCTCCCTGCCCTTTTCAGACTTTCTCTTGGGAAGCTCCCAAAGAGGCTGTGAAGCACCAACCACTCTGTCCCGTCACCACCCACTAGGAGGAGGCTCCCGACAAACCAGGGAACGGGTGCAAACACACCTGGTAAGTCATCTTCATCTTCGCTGAACACATTCGGGTTGAAGACAGGCAAGTTCACGAAGTCCATGGAAACCTTCCGAACCTCTGGGAGATAAATGGTCATCTGCCGTGGCTGGAGGTGCAGGAGGCTGGTTTTGTAGATCACTGGCGGGAGGAGGGGCACAGTCAGCGGAGACAGGAGGACCCCAGCGGGAGCAAGGAGCGGCGGTTTCCCTGCCTGGAGAGCACTGGCGTGCACAGGCAGGGTCGGGCTGGGAGACGCTCTCCACCTCTCCCTGTGCGGGCCCGGCCACCCCAGCCCCGGTCTGGGTTCAGGGGCACCGAATTCTCAGTCTAGCCCAGCCACCTGGCCAAGGGTTTGTCTGTTGAACCACGCACTCGAAATGTCAACAAACCTATACAGTCTTTTTTGTAATGAGCTGGGACATGACAGATATGTTTAAAAAAAAAAAACCACACCTCATTTGTCAACCAGAAGGACAATCTAGTGAAAACAGTTGTGGTAACCAGACTGCCGGCTCAGGGCGATCTGGGGCCACCCCGGAGCTGCTGGGGGGCGGCTAGGAGCGAAGGGGTGACGCGGTCGGGCGGGAATGAAACGCTGCCTTTATTCAGGACTGGGGGCTCCACAGCCTCACTTTCAGTTTCGTGCTCAGTACAGAGGTTTATGGGGAACTCCCCCATGACCTAGATTCCCTTGAGTGACAGGGATATTTAAGAAAAAAAAAAACAAAAAAAAAACCCAGGTTGCAACTAAAATATTTGGAGGAGACAAAATAAGTTAAAAAATAATGAATGTGAATTTACGTTTCACAGGAGGTTAAAATCAGGATGAAGCTGCCTGTCAGTTTTTATGCTCAATACGTTTTCCTGTGAGCTATGCAGAAGTTCCCCTGTTACTGCTGCCAGTTTTACTGCTCCCTTGAGATCAGCCACGTTCTCTCTCCAGAGCTGCCGCCGCCCCCCCGCCCCCGCCCGTGCAGCAGGCCTGCTCTTCCGGAGTCCCGCATGCGGCTGGCGCCATGAGTGTGAATTTTGGCTTTAAAATTCTGGATGGTTTCATATAGCTTAAGAGCTAATGTATTAAAATGCTATTCTCTGTCATTCGTATTAACCAACAGAAATAAAATAAAAAAATCTCAGGAGAGCCCTGCCCAGTGCGGCTCAGCCAGGATCTTCTCATAGGCCAGTGCTTTCTTCAGGAATTTCTTTTAACTCAAGAATCTAAGGACACTGGTACCAAAATCTGCCGACAGTGAAAGGCCAGAAATCAAAATAGCTAGAAACCTCCAAGAACTCTGATAGAGATTTTGGCTATTTCTGTCATGTTTTTATAAGTTGGGGATGATATTTTTAAAAAATGAAAGCATTACTGGCAAAAAAAAAAACCCAATTTGAGTCATTATTCTACTTTTTGTTGAAGTCACAGTGGCTGGAGTCCAAGTTTGGAGGTCAGACGCATGTTAATCTTTTGATGTCAAGGAGCTCACTTCCTACTCTAGGCCCCCAAAGGTTGCAACTGTTTTCTCAGTCTGAGTTTCCACCGGGACAGCAGACAAAGAGCCGGATGTGGTCTCACCTGCACCAAGGTTGGTCGGCAGGAAAGGAGCCAGGCCCACGATCTTAAATTTGGTTCCCCAGATATTAGACGTAACCTGAGCAAGATAGTTGTGCTGTGGGAGGAAAAAAAGGAAAGAAACATCACTATTTCCGTATTTCCTACTAAATAAACACTTCCTGCCTAAAAAACCACAGGCGTTCACAGGCGGAAACGCACATTCCCCTACTTTGCTCCATCCCTCTGAACCCCAGAAGCGAACTGCAGCACGCCAGGCACCCGCTTTTACATGGAGGCCGCAACGGGTTTGGGCCCCTTCACTGTTACCTCTCCGTTCCCAGAGCCCCCGGACTGCAGAGGGCCTCTGGCTCTGGGTCCATTTTTACCCTTGACGTTTCTCCGGAAGCACCAGCTACACTGACACCATCCTGAAACCACCCACTTGTCTGTTTCCGCAGTCAGTGACGTCAAAAGAATGTGAACAGCTATCACCGTGCCCAGCCATGCCTGCACGTGTGTGTGCAAGGGGTGCAAGGGCGATCACGAAGCTGAACGAAACACAGCTCCCCAAAGACCCCGTGCCCTGATGGGGAAGATGAGGCGGGTAAGTGTTCGCATGCAAGGAAGTCACTGAGAAATGAGAGGCTTCGGAGTGACTGTGGCTGAGCCAGGGAAGGTCGCCTTCCCGGAGGAGGAGGTGGAGCTAGGTCTGGAAGCATGGGGGCTTCCAGGGACTCGGGCAGAGCAAAGGCATGAAGGCGAAAAGAGGCAGGGGTGGCTACGCCACAGGAGGGTGGGAGGCGAGACACAGGAGGTTGCAAGCATGTCTGTGGGGTGTGGAACAGAGGTTAACGGTGCTGCCCGGAGGCAGGGGTGGTGAGGAGGACAAATAGGCTCCAGTTACCTACACCAGGGCCTGGAGCCACGGGGACAGGCACAGAGAGGGGGCAGCCAGGGCCCGGCCACCCCCGAGCACGCACTGGGGAGGGGAAGCAGCACCGTGGCACGTCAGTGCGCGCGGCCAGCCCAGACCCCAGACCCCAGACCCCACCTGAGCGATGTCCTCAAAGGGGAACTCTCTTCGTGTGAGGCCGGGGGAGCTGACGGAGGGCTTGCGAATGGGCAGCCGCGGGGACCTGGACATCTCCTGGGCGGCCCGGGACAGCTTGGGGGACTTCCGGGCTTCGATGTTGATCCTGTGGGGACGAGGCGGGGCGTCAGGCGCCCTCAGCGGGCAAGGCACTCCCGGCACACCCCCCTTCCTCTCAATGCCAGGAGTCACCCACGGGTGTCGCGTTCTTAGGAGCCAGGCCCCTCAATTTAACCAAGCCCCTCCCGCCTGCTGTTGCTGTATAAACAGGAGAAAGGAAGGACATACATGTATACTGAATAACACTTTAAAATACACACAGTGAGATCAGACAAGTGATTCATTTGTATGGAGCCTCAGAGAAGGAACTCTCTCTCACTCTCTACCGACTTGTAATAAGGAACTGGCAGGCGGGAAGAGTCCCTTCTCACCTTACAGCCACAGTGACTTTGTAATCCTAGTGCACTTGGATTTCAACAGACTCACTTAGAATTTCATGCCTGCAATATTTAAATCGAGTCGGTTCTGCTGCTTTTTGATCCTTTGCTCTGTGGTCCTCAGTTCCTTTGTTTGTAACATGGGGGCATATGTACTTATTACCAATCTAATCCGAAGACAGTGTTATAAAAATGAACATGGTAAGGTCAGTGACCTTCTACGAAAGAAAGGCATTAAGCCCACAACACTGCTGGGCCTGATAAGGCACCTGGCATGCCCGCAGGAGCGCAGGCCGGGGACCGAGCTGGTTAAAGCTCTGTGTGAGGAGGGTAGCCCGCCCGCTGCCCGAGGGGGCTCAACGCAGGGGAGGACAGAAGGGAGGAGGACTCATTACGGGGACAGCAGCACCCAGAAACCTTAAAAGGGCATTCTCGAGAGAAGGATTTAGTTGCTTAGTGTGTTACATGTCCTCTCTGCTTAAGTACTGATAACAGGAAAAGGTGGAACACTGCAGAGCGTAGGAACATTCAGTTTCATTTGCAATTTTAACAAACTTAGAACAAAGATGAAAAAGTACATTAATTAGATCGCTGTAGCCACTGGACAGCTACATGGGAAAGAACGAACATTTACCTCTAACTCCCGCTATTCACAAACATTAACCTGAGATCTAAGCGTGAGAGCTAAAACTATAAAGCTTCTAGAATGCCTCACGACCTCACAGTAGACACAGATTTCCTAAATAAGGCACAAAAAGCACTAACCAGAACAGAAGAAATTCTTGTACGTTTTAGACTAAAGGGTAGTAGTGTATGCCTGACAAAGGAGTCACAGCTGGAATAAAGAATCTTACACCTCAGTACAGGCAGAACTACTCTGTAACAAATGGGCCAAAGACTTCAACAGACACCGCAGAAGAGAAGATGCCCAAATGGCCAATGAAGATATAAAAAGCTTCTTGGCATCATCAGTCACTAGCGATATTAGGATTAAACTACAATGAGACACCACTGCACACCCACTAAAATGGGTCACGTTACTTTTTAGAAGTGACCACTGCAGGTGAGCGTGCGAGCAGCCGGCACTCTTGCGTACTGCTGGTGGGGATTCACAAGCGCTTGGCACAAGCCCTTGTTGCACAGGCACTTGTTGCACAGGCACGTGGGAACACTGGCAGTTTCCGCTAAAGGTAAGTACGTGCCTACCCCATGCCCTGCAGCTTCCCCTTCTGAGTACATGTCTGAGATGAACGTTTGCACATGCCTACAGAAAGTCACGTATAAGGAGGTACACAATGGTTCCATTCATCACAGCCCAAAGCTGTAAACAACCGAATATCCATGAACTGGAAAACAGCATAAACAAACTGTAGTATATTCACTACACAGGAATTTCGTAGCACAGAAAAGGGAAAACTACTGATAGACACAACAGCATGAGTAAACCTCAAAATCATTACACTGAGAAAAAAAAGAGTATATATTGTTTGGCTCCATGTATGTGAAGATCAAGAGGAAGCAAAACTAGTCCATGGTGACAGAAGTTAGAACAGTGATTAATCCAGAGAGCAGGTATCAGGAGTTCTGGCCAAGATGGAGGCGTAGGCAGATACGCTTTGCTTCCTCACACAACCAAAAGAAGGATAAAAACCAATTTAAAAACAAAAAATAACCAGAACTGCCAGAAAATGGAACTGTACTTGGAAGTCTGACAACCAAGAAGTTAAAGATGAAACACTCAGCTAGACTGCGCCACAACACAGTGATGTGGACCGCCCCGCCCTGGCGAATACCCAAGGCTCCGCCTCTTGCAACGTAACAGGTGCGCCAAGACAAAGAAATATGGCCCGAACGAAAGAACAGATCAAAACTCCAGAAAAAGAACTAAGTGATGAGGAGATGGCCAACCTATCAGATGCAGGGTTCAAAACATTGCTAATCAGGATGCTCACAGAAATGGTTGACTATGGTCACAAAATAAAGGAAGAAATGAAGGCTATACAAAGTGAAATATAGAAAAATATACAAGGAACCAACAGTGAAGGGAAGGAAACCAGGACTCAAATCATTGATTTGGACCAGAAGGGAGAAATAAACATCGAACCAGAACAGAATGAAGAAAAAAGAATTCAAAAAAAATGAAGAGAGGCTGAGCAACCTCTGAGACAATTTTAAATGCTCCAACATCTGAAACACAGAGCTGCCAGAAGGAGAAGAGGAAGAGCAAGAAACTGATAACTTATCTGAACAAATAATGAAGGAAAAGTTCCCCAATCTGGCGAAGGAACTAGACATGCAAATCCAGGATTTTCAGAGAGTACCGAAGAAGTTGGACCCCAGAAGAAACACACCACGACACATCATAATTAAGCTACCCAAGACTAAAGATAGGGGAGAATCTTAAAAGCAGCAAGAAAAAAGGAAAGAGTTACCTACAAAGGAGTTCCCATCAGACTGTCAGCTGATTTCTCAAAAGAAACCTTACAAGCAAGAAGAGGCTGGAAAGAAGTATTCAAAGTCATGAAAGGCAAGGACCTACATCCAAGATGACTCTCTCCAGCAAAGCTATCATTTAGAATGGGAGGGCAGATGAAGTGCTTCCCAGATAAGGTCAGGTTAAAGGAGTTCATCATCACCAAGCCCTTATTATATGAAATGTTAAAGGGACTTATCTAAGAAACTGAAGACAATCAAAAACTATGAACAGTAAAATGACAACAAACTCACAACTATCAACAACTGAACCTAAAAAACAAACAAAAACAAAAACTAAGCAACTAGAACAGGAAGGAATCACAGACATGGAGATCACACGGAGGGTTATCAGTGGGGAGGGGGAGGGGGAGAATGAGGGGACAAGGTACAGGGAATAACAAGCATAATTGGTAGGCACAAAACAGACAGGGGGAGGTTAAGAATAGTATGGGAAATGAAAAGCCTGAGAACTTACATGTACGACCCATGGACATGAACTAAGGTGGTGTGTGGGGGGACCAGGAAATGGTAGAGGAAGGGGGAGTGCAGGGAGAAGGGGGAGAAGGGGGAGAAAAAAATGAATAAATCAATAATCAATAATCAATAAAATATACTTAAAAAAAATAGGGACCGGGTATCAGATGGGAGGGCACAGGAACCGTCTAGGACGATGGAATGCTAACTTCAGCTGGGTGCTGAGTACACTGCCTCACCGAGTGAATTCTGTGTCTAGATAATCCGGACAGCTGTGTACCTGTGGGCCAGCTGTACTTGCACCTTGCACAGCATCACGGGATTTAGAGCTAGAAGGGGTCTTAGTGAAGGTCTGGTCCGTCATGAGCTTCTATAGACAAGGACATGGTCTACTTCAGGCTTTGCCCATGCACATGGCCCACGGTGGGCCGGGGGGGAGTGGAAGGCAGGGGGCGGAGCCAGGATGAGAAAGGCGATGCTCCTCACCTGGGACACCACAGCCCTTCCACGTACTCTGAGCTCTTCCCCATTCCTTAAAACAAACCTTTACAGGGGCCTAAAGTTTTCTTTGGTTTACTATTTTTTCCCCTAATTACAGCATTAATTGGCATTGAATTTGGCGTTCTCTCTAACACATTACTTACACTGTAAAACCTTTTTCTAATTTTTCTCAAACTGGAAGAAAAATTAAGTAAGGCAGGGAGCTCTGGCCATCCCATGCCACCCGCCATCAGAGCTGACCCCTAGAGAAATGCTGGACTTTAGTGGACTTCCTACGGGGTGTCTTTCCCGGCCTGAAGAACTGAGAAAGGAGAGCCGTGACCCTGTGGGCCGGCCTTCCAGACGGAAGGCAGGGGCGCGGTCCCGTGGCCCCCCCGTGTGGGTTCCGAGAGGATCCTGCTGCAGGCACCGCACAGGCGCACCCCCGGGGACAGAGAAAAGAGGCCAACACCCGAGAAGCGAGATTACCGTGGGAGTTTGGGCGACTTGCTCGCTTGGGAGATTTTCGGAGACTTCTTGGCGGCCCAGTCATCGCTCAGCTCGACGTCGCTGGAGTCCGAGCAGTTGCAGCTGTCGGCCACGGCAGACATCAGGCTGCTCCCGTAGAGTTCATCTGGTGAGACACCAACCAGCAGGTTTAAGGGAAGGGGCGCCAGACCCTAACAATGACCATTACTAGAAGCCACGGGGCAGAATGTCTCTATAGGCCACCACTTCAAGTCTGGAGAGTGAAATGGAAAGGAGTAAAGCATTGTTTTCCTCTGACATTTTAATGCTATTATTACATTTTCTAAGCAAAAGAAATTACCTCTACACTTACCAAAATGGGCATGGCATTTTAATGCCCTGGCATGTACAAAATAGGTGGGCACTTTACTGTGCCAACAGCTGAAACCAGGACGGCTTCCCGGTCATCTCCATGACACACCGGGCATCACAGGCTTGCGGGCCACCCAGGACCTGAGTGAGGGGCTCCCTGAGTCACTGACTGCTCGAAGAACGTGCTTCTGACCTGGGACCTGGGGAGGCCCTTGCCGGCTCCGGGCCTGCTCCGGACCAGAGACCTGCCAGAGCCGCGTCCGTCCGGCTTGCAGCACGGTCTGCTGAGCTGCCCCACCATTGGGCCTGCTATCCCACGATGGGGCTGCCGCAGTGGCTATAAGGGAAGGTCTGTGCGGTAGGACTTTCAGGGTGGCCTGGGTTCCGCTGCGAGTGCCCGCACAGGAGACACTCAAGCTAACTCTGCGAACTGGACATCAGGAGGAGGGGGAGAGGCCCCACGGCAGAAGGCAATGCACCCCAGGGTGGAGCCATCACAAAGCTGCTACGCAGGTGAAGGTGATACCTGACAGCAGGCTCGAAAAATCCCTTCTCCTTTGCTCCCTTCCTCCCCCCCAGCCCCCACATCCCTTCACTACCCAAACCCCTGCTCTGCCCTGCCCTGCCCTTCCCCCCAGGTCTGCCCTCACTGAATGCACCTCATTCTTCAAAAATCACTCTGTTCTGCTGACTAAAGCCTCATTCCCTCAAGGGTCCAAGGACCTTACCACACAATAAAAAAGACAAATCATTCGATCACAGTGAAATAATTCACAGGGGGGTGAATTTACTGGTCAAAAGGTCCGACTGCATTTGAAAGGATGAGTTTGTTCATCCGAACGGATCTCGACGTTGCTGGACACACGGAGGTGACGCCTGTGCACAGGGGCCTCTCTGAGGCCCCCGGAGGCAGGCAGAGCGGCAGCCCCTGTTACAGCGCTCACGGACGCAGAAGGCGCACGTCCGGTCTCCGGCAGGCGACGGCGGAGTGCCTCTGAGCTCGTTCGCATGCCCTGCGCAGCGCTGACCTTAGTTAATCTAGAATCACTGCCTCAGAGGAGGCTTGGCTACAATGCAGACATAGAGCTGAGGCCACAGAAGGCCTCCCTATGTCCATGGACACAGAGCCAGTTTGCTGACGCCCTGAGGAAATTTAGTGGGGCGTCAGGCACCTCCTCCCTGACCTCTTCGCCAACGCCACAAACGCTGTATGCCACACCACTGCTTTTTTCCATTACTCGTGTCGCAGGCTCTTCGAGCTGCTAGCACATACTGGATAACTTATCAACGACAACACTTACTTTGTACGGCTCTGGAGGCCGAAGCCTGAGATCAGGGTGCCAGCACGGTCGGGTTCTAGCCACGGCCCTCTCTGGGTTGCAGGCTGCTGACTTCTCGCTGGGTCCTCACAAGGCAGAAGGGGCTGCGTCCCTCTGAAGCCCCTCTTGTAAGGCACTAGCCTCACGCTCTAGTACCCGACCTCCGAATATGGTCACGTTGGGCGTTAGGGTTTCTGCATATGAACGTGAATGGGGGGAGGACGGAACTCTCACCACTGATTTCTGGTCTGTGTCCCCAACTAGTGTGTGAACTCCCCGGGGAAGGGGCTGCTTGTCCTGCCTTCTGCTGGAACCACAGAAATGAAAACGACTCCAGGGACCCGATAAACACTTCCTGACGGAGACATGTGGTCCGCGCTCTGCTGCCTGGCTGCATCCCGCACCGACCACGGCAGAATTCTGGGCAGTGGGGGTGGGCGCCGGTGACTGCGAATGCTCCCGGGGGTGCCCGTGAGCAGGCAAGGCTGAGGACCACTCCTCAGGAGCCCGGTGAGGACCTCCCCCCCAGACGGACTTACAGGGGATACACGAGCAAAGACAGCTGCTCTCCGTGCACAGGCCCTGAGCCGTGCTTGCCTGCCACCTGTCACCAACACAGCCAGAAATTCAGTGCACCCAGCAGAGCCACAGGCTGGGGGACCGGGGCTGGCGCCCAAATGTGCCTCTTGGTTCTACAGACGCAATGTCGTCAACTTATTGTGGCAATTCTGGCACAAACATCCAACTTGGACAAAAATGTAAGTTGGCATTACTGTTTGAGAACCCAAGTTTGCATTCCACTATGTGGGGCTCCACACCCCAATTCTGTCAGTTTTCAAGAATATGCATCTTTCATCTGGGTCGGACTGAAGGCTTTCCAAAACATGCGACCTGAATCAAATGTAGTATCAGAATTTCAAAACGTCTTTAAACACAGCTTTAACTACTTTAAAGTATTTCAAGTTCTGTCCCGTAACAAAACACATGTCAGGTGGTTCGATGACGGTGTGGGAGGCCGGGAGCCCGGGACCCAGGTGTCGCAGGGTCAGGTCCTGGAGGGGGCGCCCTCCCTGCCTGCACACGGCAGCCTTCACGCTGTGCCCTCACATGTGCTTCCTCCGTGCGTGGGCGCACACCGAGATCGCTCCTCCTTTTCCTACAAGGCCGGCAACCCTACTGCACAGGGGCCCCATGCTGCAGGTTCATTTACTCTGAATCACTCCCTAAAAGCCACACCTCCAAACGCAGTCGCGTTGAGGGTGAGAACTTCAACATTCGAAGCTGGAAGGACACAGTTCTGTCCACAGAACTGTGGACATCGCCCCTACTTCCCTCTCAAATCCAGCACTCCTAGCAGCCCTCCCCCATCTCCCCTACATGGACAGGTGAGAACTTTCCAGATCTTCCAATTCTAGTTCCTTTTCTTAACAATTCCTCCTTCGATTTGTCCCTTGCCTTTCTCATCTTACTGTAAGCAGTCAGGAGGAACCAAGCTACTCCTTCAGAGCTACTTGGAAATCCCCTCAGTTAAGAATCAAGTTCCACTGGCTTGTGAGTTTTACCTTCCACAAAACCCCAGGACACAGTGCAGCCAAGCTCTCTGCCGCTTGGATCATCGCTCTCCCCCGTTCTCCAGGAACAGTTTCCCCTTTCTGTCTCCGACTTCACCAGAAGCTTCCCTAGCGACCCGTTTTCCAGCATGTACCGGAAAACTCTTCATTCCAGCCTCCTCTGCCCACGACCCGGTTCCAAAGCTGCTATCACATCTTTAGGTGTTTGCTACAGCAGCACCCTACTTCTCAATAAGGAAATCTATGAGTTGGGGTTCCCAGAGAAACAGAACCAATAGGAGATAAATGTCACACCCACATCCACAGACAGACAGACAGACAGACAGACAGCGAGAGAATGTGGAAGTGGCTCATGAGACGATGGAGGCTGGTCGGGGGCCAGCAGGGCCGGCTCCAGGCTCACAGACTGCGCCCCGCTGCTCTGAGCTCACACGGCCTTTCTGTGATGCGTGCGTGTGGGGAGAGGGGGCTCCCTCCCTCTTCCTTTTCCTGTAAGGCCCCCAACCCTACTGGATTAGCACCCACCCTTGTGACCTCCTTTAACCTTAACTACCCCCTGAAAACCCCATCTCCAAACAGAGTCACCCTGGGTTGGGGATTCACCACGGCGATTCTGGGGCGGGGTGCGGGGGGGTGGGATGGGGCACAGTTGAGTCGATGGCAAGCTCTGACACAAGGTTCCTTTTGAAAATTTGTGGATTTTTGCCAACAAATGTATTGGGATTCAGGTTGCCTATGATAAAAACAGACGCCGGTGGTTTGGAGGAGCACATCTGTTAAGTCACTTGGGGGACGCTGACAACAGTGGAACCCACACGCCAGAGCATGTGTCACCCGGGGGCCCCTTCAGTCGCAGACCTCGAGGCCCCACCCCAGCCCTGCTGGGGGGAGGGACATGAGGGGCAGGCCTGGGGCCCCCAGGTGACCTGCGGGGAGGTGGGGGAACGACGACACGGAGGCCCGACTCAAGCAGCTTCTCCCGATGAGAAGTTCCCGGCTTCCGAGCGTCTGGAGTCCTCCTTATCCTGCCCTGAACCCGTCTCCATGCACCCTTCTCACTTGGCAATTAGTCATATTCCGCCTTGCGACATGCCTTCTATTTCTGTCCTGAGGTATTTAAATCTTGACTTTTTTATTCCATTTCCCGAGTGCTAAGCTGTCTTATCACCCAGGGGGGATTATAACTGCCTGAGAGCAGACACCTGGCACTTCTTCCTGACACGGGAGACTCGAGGACCCTGCACAAACCAGCACCTAATACACGGTGTTGATTTACTCTGCTTTACACCGATTCCACTGTTTTAATTACAAAAATAAAACACCTCTCCCCGAAGGACCGTGGGCAGTGAAGGCAGGGTGTGTTTGCAGTGAGCTGAGAGAGGGACACTGAGGAGGCGGCGCTGTGGCGGGGGGGGGGCAGGCCATGCCCCCGTCCTGGCTTCGGCGCCCTCCGGCACACCCGCCTGCTTCTCCTGCCCTGTTTTTAGTGGGGCGCATGCCCCATGGGGACCGGAGCAAGCTCTTCACATTGGTTTCCTCCAGCACTTCACGTGAGAGCAGGTTTCACGAAACTGGACACACGGGAGGAACCTCAGGGGCAGTGACGTGGGGTGAGAAGACGTGCTGTGGTTCGCTGCCTTCCACACACCCTTCCCCTCCTGTGGTCACTTCCAACCACTGGCCCTCCTGCACCATTGATGGACTCCAATTATCAATGAACCCTCCTCCCCCACCCCCTAAACCACGTTTTCCTCCTGAGTTCGCATCCACTGCCCTCCTGGGTTTCTCACTTTGCTTCCTTCCTTCTCAGCCTCCTCTGCCCTCTTTTCCGCCTGCCTCCCTACCAGTCCTACTTCTTCTCCTCGGCCTCCCTGTTCTGGGTACGAGTTCATCACATGACTCAAAAGACAAAAAACAAGAACAAAAACAAAAAACCCAACCCAATTAAATACTGGAGTGGGCAAGGGACCCACGGCACCGTGACACCAGGATAACCCTGGTCGTAACACACGTCACGGTGCCTTCAGAGACATAACGGGGGGCCCAGGCCAGTCTCCTGGGAAGGAGAACGAACGGGAGTCGAGGTGTGGGAAGGACCACTGTGAAGCCAATGCAAACAGACCTAATCTAACTCACGTTATTTCAAGGTCAGGCCCTTGCCAGGCACTGGGGGCACAGAGGTGACTCGGTTCCCTCCCTCCAGGACCTCCAGGACCCTAATCCAGGATTCGGGGGCAGACAGAGCCCCAGAAAGACCACTGTGTGCTTCCCAGGACCCCAGCAGCTCAGCTGGCAGGGGAGAGGCACGGAGGACGATGCCGTTCAGCCTGCTGTTGGGGCGGGCGCAATTCCACAGGGGGAAGCGCGATGTCTGAACTGGCGGGCACTGATGATGGGCACCCAGGCCTCAACAGTCGCCGGCTGAGGCCACCGGGCGGGCACAGTCGGAACAAACGGAAAGGACCAGGTCCCTCCCTCTGGAGGCTCACGAAGCAGAGCTGCGGAGACATGGGCGCAGGGAGCACCTGGGCGCCTGAGCGAGGACGCTCAGGTGGAGCAGAGGGCTCTAGAAGGAAGGGCTCATGACTCATGCACGGGCTTTACAAAGGAGCCAGGAATTTCCCTTGGGGATCAGCTAGAAAGCAGTCCACAGCCTGAGGGGCAGAAGCAGGACTGTAACAGCAGGACTGAGGAGCAGGCTGCAGGTTTGGGAGTTTTGACTCTGTCGTTCGCTGGGGGTAGGGGATGGGGACCGCCTCTCGGTGAGGTGCAGGCCGTCTGCACAGCACACCCAGGCTGCCAGGGAGCCCTGCCCCTGGAGGAGGAAGCTGTCACCCTGGAGCCCTGCGCCCGCTCCCCCTTCGCAGACAGCCCCAGCCCCGGGCTAGCCTCCCGGGGTGCTAGCCTCCCGGGGCCATTAAAAGCCCCACCGAACAGGACGTTTCGAACAGGACGTTGGAAACGGAGTGTCCCTGAGTGTTCCACCGGTGCACACAGGCTCACTTCCCAAAACCGGGCATCCCCGTGTCGTGGGTTACCGGGAACCACACCTGACAAGCAGGTCGTCGGGCGGTGAGGGGGCCCACCTGCTTTGCTATCCGTCCGGGGGTCCATGATGACAAACTCTGGCCGCAGCTTGCTGATGCGCCGCCCCTTGAGGATAGGCACAAGCCCACCCAGGTACTCCAGGTAGAGGGTGTAGCATGGGCCGCCCACCTCCGGGTCGTCCTCCGTGCGCTTCATGGTGCAGTGCAGACGCTCGTTGCCGGCCGAAGGGTAGCTGACGAAGTCTCGCATGTTGTTGGGGTCTGGGATCGGGGGCTGGAAGCAGAACAGGTTAGACAAGAGAGAGCGCGGGCTCACCTCTCACTCTAACAGAGCACTGCCTGGTAGCCCGACTAGGGGTGGTGAACGGTGCATTAAATAGTAATTTGCAACCCTGGGTGGACGTCAGAATAACGTGGGAGCTCTAAAAAAAAAAAAACACACCTGAGCCAAGATCCCAACTCTGGAATCTCTGGCAGTTGGGCCTTGGCATTTTTTGCTGTAAAAAACTCCCCGGGTAATTTTAATGTGCAGCCAATTTGGGAATTACTGGCGCAGAAGCAAGATTGCAAAGCAACTTGGAAAAAAAAAAAAAAGATCACAGAGAGATTCTAAAACTCTGATGTTCTAGGAAAAAAGTAATCAGCAAGTCAATCTACTACTTAGAAGCAGAGGCGGAACACAAGGAAAGGAATGCGGAGCAGAAGCCAAGGTTAAGGGAAACCCACAGCTGAACAGCCCCTGGCAGGTACATGCTATCGGGAGCGGTTTTCGAGTTACGATCAGCATGCGGATGGCCGGCAGCGAGTGCTGGGCGGGGGCTGCTGCTCCTCAGCACGGCGGCGAGGGTGGCAGGCCCTAAAGCCAGACCGGGGTTCAGTCCTGCCCGTTCCCCCACACAGCTATGGAGACAGTCGCCCAACTTCTAGAAACATGTTTCTCGCTTTTTCGAGTGGGAACAGCAGCGGCCCCACCTGCCGGGAGTTCAGGGCTGAGTAACACAGACTGACCATCAGCAGGACACAGCACTCGAGCCCAGGGGCTGCCGTGGCCACGACACAGCCAGTGCCCATCTCACGAGGGGGGACCCTGTGGACACGCTGAAGACGATGCCCACGTGGCAGAGCCCTGCAGGGCCACACACCTCCTCCATCCACCCAGCCCCTCTTGCCAAGGGGAGACATGCCTGTGCTCCTGCTCTGGGGTTATCAGCCACCTTCCCGCAAAGCTGGGGAGGAGGAGGGGGAGGGGGGCAGCAGGGGGAAGGGAGGGGGGGAGGCCCTACCTTGATAGTGGGGATGAAGGCAGTGGAGAGGTAGGAGCAGAGGCGGGGGGGCAGAGCCAGCTTGCTGACATCTTTGTCTTCTCGCAGGGCGCTGGCAATGGCCTGCTGGCACAACAGCTGCAGGCTGGACACCCGGTGCTCCACGCGCACCACGTACAGGGCCGGTCCCGACGCCATCAGCAGCCTGGAGTCCCGGTGGCCCCAGCAGATGGAGATGATGGGGCGCTGCCGGAGAGTGAAGGGAGACCTCATGTAGGCTTTTGCTCTTAAAAGCGAAGAAAGATCATGCGTGCTTGTCTCAAGCAAGATAAAGTGACCTAGTAGTTTTCAAGATATTGGTTTTAACAAGTGTAAGAGAGAATGCTTAATACTGTACTATGAAAATTCATTACTTTCACTGACAAGTGGTTAGATCCTAAGTACAGAGTATTGGAATAGTCTTACAAAGTTCTTTTACATGTATCATCTCATTTAAGTCGGTGCCACAAAACGTAACACAGCTCCGTGTAACAACACTTCTACCAGAAGTCAGCTTGGGGCGCGGTAGTCCACATTGCGTACTAAAGCCGTGATTAACTAGATCTCCCAATCACTGGTGGCGGCTCCCCTGGCTTGGGCTGGTGGTGAGGAGGTGGACCAGATGGCCCTTCCCTTTTGTCCCGACAGGGAGCATTTGAGAGTCAAATCAACACTGGGTTTGGGGCAGAAGCTGCGTGACCTGGGGGCTGTTACGTGATCCCTGCAGGTCTACGGTGTCATGAGTCAGTGGGAGCTGTGCACAGGAAAGGAGAGGAGAGATGCCCAAGTGCCCCTGGCATCGAACCCACGCACGTCAAGTCCCCGTTACTCTGTGCCATCGCGGAGCTGACGGGGCGGAGAGAAAGCGGAGAGCTACCTGGGAGGGGACGGGGAGGGGGACACATTCCCTGTGACGGCCCCTCCAGGGGAGTGCGGCCATCACTTGCTCTGCAAAGTCAGGCTGACATACAAGTGTACGTGTAGAAACGGCTTGTACCCAAAACCTCGAAGCTCAGGGGAGCCATGCAAGTGCGATCAGCCTGGGAAGAAAGAAGGAAGCGAAGGGCCGTGATGGAGAGGCAGTGAGAGAATTTGTTCCTTCCGATCCAGACAGATGCAGTTCTGGTTTAATGAGGTCTTGAGGGGTTTCAAAGATCAGAAGCGGGGATGGCAGCTCTTTTACATGAATGACAGATAGGGCCAGAATTTTCACAGCATCTTAGTGACAAACATCACGATAAAAGGAACACGTGAAGATATTTGCTTATAATAGCCCCCGGGGTCAGCTCATCCTGGTTTCAACTTCAAAGCAAACTGCCGGGCTGAGGACAACTCAGCTCCCATTTCCAGCAGAGAGGGGCTGGCAGCCGCTGCGGGGGGCAGCCGAAGCCCCTGGAGGAGGACCCTGGAGCCTGGGGCTCAAGTCTGGGGCTTCCAGAGTACTTTCAGGATGCGCCTCTGTACAAGAGGGTCCAGCACAGAGGGAAGACCCCACAGCGAGGCCTGTTGATTCAGAGCAAGACTACTCCCTGCTGCAAATAGTGCAGACAACATAAAAAAAAAGTGTAAACAATTTTCTTTGGTGTCATCAACCCCTGTGAGTGCAGACCAGGACAGAGGTTCCATTAGTACCAAAATCATGATCAATCTTAAAGGCATACGACCTCCCCCAATCCCCATCCCGTGCCTCCTAAGACGTTTACAGCCTAGAGCTCAAGTTAATGAAGAACAGTTTCCAACAAGCACCACCTCCCGGGTGGGAACTGGCTACAGAAACACCTGACGCTTCCTCCTCCAACTCCCCATCACTTTGAGTCCCCCCACCTGCCGTGCCAGCCGTTACAGGGCAGGGACCACACACGTCCACCCTCGAGTCCCCTCTGTCCTGCTAGTCCTGCTTTCAGGGGTAACCACCTCTGTGATGTGACTACAGGTTTTGGGAGGGTCTTATATGGAACTGTCACTATGAGACGTATGTATCTCTTACATCTTTGTACAAAGGAACTTGAACCAGGTATATAGACCTTCAACCTGGATAAAAAACCCAGTTACATTTATGTGTATTGTCACTACCTATCGTAACAAAAGTAACGATTGTGTCTTAAAAACTTACTGCATTCCGATAGCACCTTCAGTTACATTAGCTCCTCTTACTGCCCCCAGAGGCAGCGTGAGCGAGCACACAGCCAGGCAAACACACATGACGCCCCACAAAGACTTAAGCTGCCAGTCAAAGCAGTGAGCCCAGACTCCCTTCTCAGGCTCTCCTTAATCCCTTCGGCCAGGCTGTTTTCCTCAGAAGCAAACCAAACCGCACGTCTGCAGCAAAGGCAAACGGCCCAGAGGGCACAGAGGCTGCACGAACAGCAAACGGGCAAGCACAGGAATGATGCATGAGGGCAGAGAAGAGCTCACAGGTCACGGGGGCCCACGAGTGGGGAGAAAGTAGCCAAGCGGCACTCTCAGCTGCGCACGCAACAGCATGGGGCACACGGGGAGGGCGAGGCAGGGCTGCGCCACCCCAGACCGGGCACAGCGTCGCGGAGGCAGACACGGTTCTTCCCGAGGAGGAGGAGTGGCAGCACTTGAGAGGACCGAGGGCTGGGACCAGCAGAAAAGAGCTGAGACCCTTCAGCCCGGTGCAGTGAGTCCTACGGGGCCTCAAAGGAGAAACTCTCGCTTGCAGCACGGTCACCAGGGAACGCTGCTCCCACGAGCAGGACACGGACACCAGTGGAGCACTCTGGGGCAGAGCATCCACTTGCTTGCCCGAGCCAGGGGCAGTTCACTCCAGCACGGGGCGGGAGAGCTGCTCATTATATACACATACATAAACAAAACGGCGTGTCATTTCAGCCTCAAAGAGGAGGGAGATTCTGACGTGCGCTGTAAGGCGGGTGGGCCTTGAGGACACTGCGCTCAGTGACACAGGGCCGTCACGGAGGGGCAGGCACGGTGTGGCTCCAGTTCTGTGAGGCACGTGGAGTGAGCCAAATTCGTAGAAACAGAACGGCACCAAGTTTCGGTTCTGCCCGGCAAAAAAGTTCCAGATTGGTTACACCACAGTTGAATACGCTCAACATGACTAAACCGTACACTTGGAAATGGTTAAGGTGGTAAATTTTATGTGATGTATATTTTACTAAAATTTTAAACAAAGATATATTTCAATAATTAACACTCGCATCTAATTACAAAATACCCCTATCTGGTGCACCGGCCTCTCGGATGGGCTGGGTTAGGTTGGGACACAGGTCCCCTGTTTGTTCTCATCCCCAGCACTGCCACCTCACGCGCGGCCCTGTCTCCAGCACACGCCACCGAGAATGCACCGTAACCGGCCCAGACCAGAAACGAGCTGGTCTGAGGATCTCTGGAACACACACACAGATAGAAAGGGGCCCACCTGTGCACGCTTTCTTAAAGACCTTTAAGCTTTTAAACACAGTTAACAATAATAACTTAGCTGAAATACAGAAGTACATTACTGACATAACAAGCATAAAATCAGGGCGAATACATGAAGATTCAGCTTTTACTTTGGCACATTTCGGATTTCTACTTCAGACTGATGATAAACACCAGGTCACTCTGCTTACTGTCCACTCATTTGACTCGACATTGAAAGAAAATATTTTGGTTAAAAGGCAAAAATGTCTTTCTTCCTGTTTTTCCTGCGCCATACCCCATAATTTAGCTCAAGCCAACACAGGATTGAAATCTGCCAGGGACAGTTACGGCGAGTGTAAGCACCTCGTGAGTGTGCAGGGAGGCTGCGGGCCGCTAACCCGGGGCAGCGCGGCGCGTGCCCTGCGCGCGTCCTTACTTGCACGAGGGTGTCCAGCGTGAAGATGTGCTCCCCGCGGACGTTGTAGAACTTGACCATGGCGCTCTTCAGGAGAGGGCCGTTGGGAAGGTCCCCGAGCTGGGTTTGCCACTCCATGCCAGCGACGGCCAGGAGGTCTCCCTGCGTGCACCACTGGGCCACCACCTCTGAAATCACAAAGAAGAAACGGTTGGCCTGAAGGCTGGGACCCTCTCTGAACACTCACCTACGCAGTTTGAAAACAGAGGTGCTGAGCAAATGTAGCGGCGGTTTTCCCCTTCCCCCTGCTGCAGACACGAGCTACCCATTTCTCTGAAGACAACAGAGACTCTGTTAAGAACAGACGTTTACGACTTAGACAGAAACTGCAGTCCCCCCGACACATAGCCACGTCAGGCGAAGGTCACCTATGGCAGAGCCGGCACGCTAACGATCTATCTCTAAGCCAGTGTTTCCACAACAGCACTTGCAGAAGTCGGGGAGAGCAGGGGAGAGAATAAACCCCCGACTGTAAGTCCTACGTGCTCCGCCCGCCGCTGCGCCCCCGTTCCCGGAGATGACCCAAAGGCGTTAAAAATGCCAGAAGCAGAACATAAACCCAGAGCGAAGCCTGACTTTGTCCTCATCTGATTTCTGTGCGCCGCCGGGCAGATTATAGGGAGGAGAAGGATGTATCTGCCCACGAAGGCTCCCGACTGTTCCTCAACAGCTGCTGATGTCATGGGGCTTAGAAAAAAAGACAGACACGTCTGTCGGGTGGCAGTGGGTCAGAGGAATGTCCACGCTGCGGACGCGAGGCCCTCCCCTACCTCTCAGTGCCTACAACAGACGGCTCTTACATGGTTTGCCTGATCCCAGTGTGAGCCAGTTACTTGTTCTCGCTGGTGAAACGAGCCGTTGGTACTCTAACATTTACAGTCTAGTTTCTCTTCCTCGACACCTTAAGACCACGCGTGGCGTACACAGAGTTCCCCGAAGTCTGGAACGCGGGTGCCCATTCTGCAGAGTCTGGACGGGGACGTCCGTGACAGCTGGGTCTAGGATTCGACAGCTCCTAGCATGTCGCATGCCCCCAGGGGGCAGCGGGCAAGGTGAACCTAGTCCAGGAGGACCCTGGGAGAAGAAGGGGGGGTCCATTTGGTAACAGTATATTATGCCCCCCCCCCATGGGTCTGTTCTGTAACACTGGGCAACTGTAAACAAAGCCAACCTGGCTGTGCAGACCCGTGTGCCCCGCCCCAGCGGCTGAGCGGCCCCGTGACACACGGAGGCCCACGGGCTGCACGGAGCCTCCACGGGCCGCACGGAGGCCCCACGGGCAGCGGGGCCGGACACCCCCATCAGGCCAAGATGTCTGCGCTTCTCTGTGCGGCTGTGAAAACTCCCGCCCCCTCTGGAAAACGGCGGCCGAGAGAGGGGCGAAGGCTCTGTGGGGCTGACAAACACAGCACACGCTGGCCCTGACTGGTTGGGATTTGGACACTCCCACAGCGTGCGGGATTTGGGGGGAAGATTTAAACAGGTGGGTGTGCAGGAGCTCACTCTCTTCCTCGTCCCTGGTTAGGGTGGGGCATGGAAGGTTCAAGGACCCCTCGGGCACACAGATGCATGGGCCAGGAAAGTTCTCAGGCACCAGGGGTGCGAGCAGCCTTGCACGCTGGGGCCCAGTGGACTGAGCCCCTGGCAGGACCAGCTGCACGGACTGGGCAGGGCACCCTGGTGCCAGGAGAGAGAGAGAAGCTAGGAGAGGCGAAGGTGATGCTGGAACCCACAGGTACGCACCCAGAGCAGGAGAACCTGAAAGCTGGAGAGACGGGCACCCATTTGTGCAGCCACCTGGGGGCTCCAAAAAGGACAGATAATCATGACGGGGAACTTCTGGGCACAGGTGTGGATTTCTGTCTTTCTGGGAACAAGGGGATTTCTGTGTCTTGAAGAAGAAGTTGGCTTGGAGCAAAGATGCTCCCAGCCATGCTCCCCCCTAACTGGGTACACTAGTAATAAAACCCTTTTCCTCCCCCACCAATCCTGGTGCTGTGCTTGTACCCGGCGGCAGGTGGCCAGACCCCAGGCTGCTCGTTCACACACGTGCGCACACACACACACACACGTGCGCACACTCACACACACCATGAAGGCGGAGTTGGATAGGTGGCAAGGGAAAGGGCTGGTCATGGGGACCATGGGCTATGGGGCGTTCTAAGTTCCTTTGCACATGACATAATTATGGTGTTGGTGATAAACTAAAGAATATCGTAAGTACCGTTCTTCACTGGGAGTTCTCTGATAATTTTGAGACAGTGACAGAGAAAGACTAAGTGGATAATAAGATAGGCATTAGAATAAAACTGGAGTCAAAACATTTCACATTTGTGGGGGCTACTTGGGGTCATCTTCCCAAATCACATGCTCCGGATCCTTTGCTGCAAATTTGATGGGAATGTGTTGAAAATGCTGCTCCAATACAATCTAGTCTGATAAAGAGAGAAAAAAAAATACATTCAAGGAATAAAAAATAAAGTTTTCATATGTAGGCAAGTTAGTAAAAAAAAAAAATCAGAAGAATCTGCCCTGTAAAGAATAAAAGGAAATGAAGTGGTAACTGTGTTCTTTTTAGACCTGAACTGTGTTCTTTTTAGACCTGATCGGATTTAGTAGAGAACAAAGTCCAGTATTTCAGGCTAGGGGCTGGTTCTGATTAAATGAATAAACTCGGTTAAAAGTTTTGAAAACAGAATTTTGAAGGAAAAATAGAGCTTAAATTACCAAATATATGGGAGAATTTAATTCATAATGACCACCCCTGCATTTGAGTTCCAAAAAATACAGAAGCATTCAGGAGACGCCCAAGAAATTGGAGCTCACCATCATCACACACAAAAAACACTCAGCTCCTAACAGCTCATGCGCGGTATAAAGAAAGACTTCTTACCCGGTTCCTGTTCCTAAGGGGTCTATAGGCTCAACAATTTCTACACTTAGAGATTTGAAACAGCAAAATGGGATGCCCACAGATGGAGTATAACTTGCTTCTACAAATACTCTCTAGTTTAAAAACACAATGACTAAGTAGCTAGGAGCAGGGGGATGTACTGGCAAGGAGGATGCATTCCAGCCCATCGATGGCTAGGTATACAGACTTAATTTTCTGTTTCCCTGTGGTTCCGGAACAGCTCAGCCAGGATGCAGCGGCACTCGGTCATGACTCTGGTCTGACGGCCAGCTCTGCAGGACAGCAGCAGGTTAAACTAAACCTCCTGGTGTGCCCCCACCTCCCACTCAGATTACAGTCGGTCCCTACAACATCAAGGACTACAGGAGGCCCAGGGATTTCTATTTCCATGACACCATTCAACCCTGGAAAGAGAATTATTTTTTTAAAAAACTCATCAAGGCCACACAACCAGCAGCACTCTCAAACTGGAAAATTCAGACCACTCTACATGCCTGTGGACGCTGCTTTTCCCTGAGGTAACAGCATTTCACAATGGCTGCCGGGAAGGTGTCAGCATTTGACTGCTGACCTTCACGTCAATGACCTTCAGTGGGGTAACTGCGAACCTCCGCAAGTCTGCCAAGGTAACCTGACTGCGCCACAATCGGTCCCTTAATAAGCCTTCACATCACAAGGGCTTCTGTGTAAATGTGTCTCATGCTCTGTCTGCTGCCTCAAGAACAGCAGGTGCTGCTGTCCAATCCTCTGCAGACACAGTGTCAGCCAGAGGCAGACACACCACACACCACGGAGGGGACCACTCCTGTCGCAGTGGGAGAAGGGGCGGGGAGATGGAGGCTGACGGTCAGCACCCCCTCCTCTCGGCAAGACCAGGGAGCGACCTGTCAGATGAGGAGAGCAGTGAAAGGAAAGGGCCTTCACCAACAGACCTCCTTGGGTCCGGAAGAGGCCACTGCAGGGGACAAGAGTCCGCAAGCACTGGGTGTGTGACGCCCAGCCTGGAAGGCTGGCCCTGGGGACCGGGGTCGTGTGCAGCCCCTGTACCTTTCAGTCCTGAGTGGATGACGGCAGGAGACAAGTCGTCGTAGTTGTTCATCAAGCTGATGTCCCCCGAGGTGAAGCTGACGGTGAGCAGAGGTTTGATGTTCTGCACCGGGATCGGATATGCGGCTGGGCCATCTGCGGGACAAAGGTGCCGAGGAGAAAAGGGACAATGAGCACACAACCGAAATCCGGGGCCCCACAGCCGCAATCTCTGGAGGGTCTGGGAAACTGCCTGACGGTGTAGCTCGGACACTGGACCGGGATGCGACCAAATAAAGCACCAGTGTGCACCCCTTCCGACTTCGCAGTCCACAGAGGGGCTCACCAAAGAACCCTGGGATGCGTGGTGGCGAAATGCGTGAAGAGTGTATTGACTTGGGTGCTAATGTGTTATGTGTCTCTCATGATGGGTACATGTAACATCTGAATGTCCTACAACATACAGAGTGGGGCTAAAGCATGTTTACAGTTGTCCGCATGAAAAATTACATAGTAATTAATAAATAATACAAGAATGAACTCAGTTTCGTAAACGTACTTTTAGGTTTAGACCGTAAACCAACTTCTGTCCTACCTTGCAGGAGAATGGTGGGGAGAGGGATGAAAGTGTTTTACAATCCTGGTCCCCACTCGGCAGGTGCTGATGAGGGGTGACTTCTAAAGACTCCCCCAAACCAGCCCCTCCCGGGACGAACCTGCCTCACGGTCACAGGCAAGGGCAAGCGCCGTCCAGCGTGTGCCTTAGACCACGAAGGGCACTGAGCAGGCAGCGTGAGCGCAGCTGTCCGGGCTGAGGGCATAAATCCTGCAACAGCGCAGCTACTTCCAACTGGGCAGTTGTCCCTTCCACGTTTCATAACATGATTTTGTTTTGTAAAAAAAAAAAAAAGAGGCAGTGCAGGGAATGGACACTGAGGAAGAGCCAGGCCCCGGGCAGGCTAGTTCTGGGTGCTGCCACTCGTTGGTGATGGCCACACCAACAGTGAGCCTTCCACTGGGTGCGCCCCACATTTACGGGTAAAACACTGCACGGGGTGAAGGAGGCTCCAGTCCCACACCATCTCCACCACGTCTGAAACCATCTTCCATCACTGGTCTAAACACGTACAAACTCGGATGCCAACTAGTCTGGTTTAATACCGCTGTGAGGCTTGTGGGGGGTGGAGGTGAGGGGGTGAGAGGTAGGTTCTTCTGAACTGAGAGAGGGCCGGGCTTCTGCCTGAAACAAAGCACAGACATCTGGCCAACGTGCTGGCCTTCACGACGGGCAGAAGTAACAATAATCCTCCTCTCTCACACTAAAGCTCCGGGCTTTGACGGCATGGGGGATGTGGAACCCCACGTTCCAAGTCAGCATGAGAGCACAGCATGGTTCATCCCCACCTCTTCATTCTCACCACGCCCCAGGGACACAGAAAAGGCCGTCGAGTCTCATTTTCTAGCTGGCAAAACCCAAGCCAACGGCATCTCATCATGCGGACCGGCGTAGGTGAGAAAGGGTGGCGGAGAGAAGACAGTCAAACCGAGATCAGAGGCTGGGCGGCCGGCCTTGCACATCGCTCCGAGAGCTTCCCGGCAGGGCACTGCGCCTGCGGCACACCCTTCCCCGCCTTCCTCCGGATGGGCTCAGTGCCCCTGGGGCAGCGAGCTGCCTTACCTTGGGGAGGGGAGTAGTCGTCGGAATCCGTGTCACTCTCGCTGCTGTCCTCCACCAGGAAGGCTGGGTAGTTCCAGGACATGCCCAGGATGCCGTCGGACTCGTGCAGGAGGACGTGGGCCAGCATCCGGCCGTGGCAGTCCATGACGATCACCTGCCCGTCGGCCGTGCCAAAAAGCACCTGCGAGCAAGGACCAGAGCTGCCGATGACCGGGGAGCAGGGGCCCCCTGTTCCCGCAAACCTCATCGCCTCGGCTTGTTTAACTAGGCAAACTATATATTTACAACTAAAAACACAGACCAGTTAAGTAACGGAGGGGATAAACAAAGCTTTACGTAGAGAAAATTTAGCTGGCTGTTACTGCAAGAATTTCAGTTCTCTCTAATACTAAAATGTGACTAGCGGCACAATAAATATATTCACTATGTTGTACGGACATTATCAAACAGTACTAGCAACATCCCAGTTTCACTTTTTGTGCGTTGTTTTGTTTTCTTGGGTCGGAGGAGGAGAGTTAAGAGGGTAATATTTATTCTTCTGGAAAATAAAGCAGCAGCAGAGGTCTGTGGTTAAGAATAAATTTAGAAGACAAAACTTAGGTGTATGTTTAACCCAAGAGAAAGTGCGTTTGGTTATGTAAGCATGTTATGTAACCCTACCGGGAAAAGAGGACGATCCTGAAATGGTGTGTCTAACATTTTATTTCACTGTGAATAAGCATATTAATTAATAATTAGTGTTATAGTGTATTAACAGTATTAATGTCTTCATTAAGTGCTGACTCTGTGCTAAGCACTATACTGGAAGCTTTACCTTATTACCTGTCAAAATAGCCCCGAGCCGAGTAGCAGTAGTGCTGGAACAAGGCCCCCACGCCTGTGCTGAGGCCGGCCCTGAGGAAGGCCCCCACCGCCGTGCTGAGGGGTGGGACAGGCCCGGCACAGGGCAGGCAGGGCAGAGGAAGGCAGGTGGGGATAACCCCTTCTATCAGAGCACTCCAAAGCGTCTCCCAGTGGATGGAAGCTCCCTGCCCAGGGGTGCTGGCCAGCTCATGTCCCCGCGAGGAGTCCTGAGGCTGGGAGGCAGGACCTCCACGGGGAGCACGCTTTACCTTCTGCTTTGTGCGGCGGGCCTTGTGGTCTGCGTCCACTGCCATGAACACCTTCTACCTTTTGTGTCTGAGATCTGTCTACCCTGAGCAACTCATTGGGACAACCAAGCAAGCTATTTCCATTTTACAGATGCAGAAACAACCTGTGAGGAGTCACGTTGATAAAGTTAAGTGGTCAAGCCAGAGCTATCTCATCAGAAAGACAGGATTTAAGGCTTTGCAGATACTTGCCTCTTTTTGCTATTAAAATGATAACACTAAGGCCCTGGCTGGTGTGGCTCAGTGGACTGAGTGCCGGCCTGCAAGCCAAAAGGTCACTGGTCTGACTCCCAGTCAGGGCACATGCCTGGGTGGCAGGCTGGGTCCCCAGTGAGGGTACATGAGAGGCAACCACACATTGTTGTTTCTTTCCCTCTTTGTCTCTTCCTTCCCCTTTCTCTAAAAATAAATAAATAAAATCTTCAAAAAATTTTAAAAAAATGTAATAGTAAGCTTGAGGGCAAAGGCTGTTCACAGCTGTTACCTCCAGCATCTTGCTTTGGGTATACAACAGACACTCATACATGGTTTTTGTTTTTTTTTTTAAATGAATTAAAGTCAGTAACAATCAAAAGGCAAGTTTTATCAACAGGACATAAATGCTGATGATTAAGACAGATTCCCCGAGGGAGCGCTGTCCGTTTCTCCACCCGCAAGGATGCTGGTGTTGAGGGCACAACTGCCAAGTCCCCCAGCGCTCTGACAAAACCGCAGATGCACGGCCGTCCGCCCCAGCACCTGCAATTTCATCCTGCTGGAGCCACCCTCACATTCCTGGGGGCTGCAGCCTCCTATACGTTCGGTGCGGCTGAACTAAGAATGAAGGCATACACAGGTTTCTACAGAAATTATGATCCCAGGGATGATTCTGAGGAGATAAAGAAGGCTGGTATCCTTCAGAGAACAAAATGATGTTGGGATGTCTTTGGGGTGAATTCCGTGGAAGTTTGTCACTGACATGTGTTCTGAACTACGAAACATGAGTTATGTGAGCTAAGAAATAGTTTCTCTTGATAAATAAACTAAGAAATTTAAAAAAAATTAATTGCAAGGGAAGATCTATTTCATTTAAGTAGTAATAAGCTCACAGAATTTGCAGAACTGTTAAAATAAATCATTTTCTATCAAATATTCCTTTAAACGTGATCTACATTTTAATGACTGAAAGCTGGAAAAAAAAAAGGCTAAAACTTTCCCCAGGGGAAGTGATGAGTTTACTAGTGCATGCCACTTAAAGAAAACACAGACAAAACCAACAAGAACTCTGCTGAAACTCTGGAACGGCAGACACTGAATGTGCTGGAAAGCAGTTTTAAATATTGATGAACACAGAATATGACTGCCTGTAACTTTAACAGAAATGTATAATTTATATACTTCAAATTTAACAGATACGCCGGAGCCCCACTGTAAGGCGCACGGCGTGGGTGACTCACTCACTTGTTCAAGTGTGTTCTGAAGAGCAGCTCTGCACCCCGGCGCTGGCTGAAGGGGGCATTTATCACTCATCACTTACGGCTGTTTGTCTGAATAACGACAGCTCATTAGCTAATGGTCACTCTTCACGCAGACCCAGGAAAGGAGTCCCCTGAGCCCTCAGTGCTGGTTCTTACAGTGCCCACGTCCTACCGGTGCACCCAGCACCACTCCATCTGTACTGCGTGACTGCTTGGTCTCTGACTCCCACACTAGACGTCAAGCTTCGGAGGACTGGACAATGCCTGCTCTGCTCACGGCGACCTCCCCAGGGCCTGACGTGGTCGATGACACATGGCAGTTAAGTATCTGTGCAGGTGGGGGGAAACACCTCTGCACCGAAGTGTCCTTTGAATCCCGCCCACATCTTTTCATTTGAGAGGAACACAAACCAGACAATAGAACTGACACACAGTTCCTGGGTAAGGGGCCGGTGACTTAATGAGTTCCCGGTGCTCACCATTCCAGTTAGGTAAAATGGAACAAAAAGCCAGCCCCCTCTCCAGCTCCCCACCACTAACCAGTTCCAACCGCAGCTCTCCGGGGAAGATAATATGCCATGAAATTTGAGAGAAGGAAAAAGCCAGCACTAGCAGTCCACCTGTGAAGCAATGGAGGGAGCTACTCTGTTTTGGAACAAGTATGTCACAGATAACTGAAGACTACTGCTACAACCTAAAATCAAATTTTTAAAAATCTCCACGACAACAAGTTCTTTTCATGCCCAATCACTTCTAGTGAGATAACCCTACTTGTATGTGGTGTGTAAGCGTGCATATGATTCAGCCTTTTTGAGGCTGAATAATGCGTGGATAAACCTCGAGGGCATTATGCTGAAGGAAATAGCCCAGGCCCTGAAGGCCAGATACCGCACGATCCCACTCACACGAGGACTCTGAAACAGTCAGACCCACAGAAGCAGAGAGCAGAAGGGCAGCCGCCCTGGAGTGGAGGGAGGGAGACGGGAAGTTGCTGTTTCATGGGCCTCAAGTTTCAGTTACGAGAGGTGACTGCGCTCCGGAGACCGCCGCCCCGCGTGGCGCCTGCAGTTCCCAGCGCGGTGCTGTGCGCGTGACCGTTTGTTAAGAGTGCGGATCTCGTTTTAACTGTTCCTACCACCGTAAAACAATGTAATATATTAGGGGTCTAAATTTATTTTAAAGTCACCTTCTTGTGAATTTAGTGTTATATTTTCTTCATATGCCTTTATTAATGCCACAGCATGATCATGGCTTTGGTGTTGACGTAGGGCCCCTGCATGTACACCATGTTTGTCCAGGTGGCTGAACTCCCAAACAGAGCTCTCTAGGGTGGCACTCCTAATCCACAAATGCGTTTCTGCTGACGACCCTACCCTTGGCACTGAAATACATCCTTGTGTCACACTGCAGGGAGGTGACATGTGTGCTACTACTACCAGTGACAGACTAAATTCTAGGCAGCCCCTGCTGAGCCCTCTTCCTGACTAGGCCTGAACTCTGGCCTAGGAAACCGCTGCGATAGATTCTCATCACAAATGATTTCACACACATACACACAGACCTGAACAAACACCTGCATGGTGCTGTCGGCTCAAGGCTGAGTTGCGAGGGATGACAATCCCAGCTCTGTTAAGTTCTTGCCTGGAAAAGCTCAAGGTTGCCAAAAGAATATACTGTTTGTTCCAGACAACACCTGACAACAGGTGCCCCTGTCTGCCAGTCTCTGTGGGAGGGTAGGTCCCTAACTTTGATAAATACCGGTTAGCAAACCCAGATGGCCTAAGCACATTGGGGTACCTGCCTCCTGCTTTTTGTGAATTTCCACTCTGCTTGCATCCCTTCCTGCCCCCCACCACATGTTCTACTCCCTAACTCTCCCTTTAAAATGGTCAGTCACCTCCGCACAGATGGAAGTTGAGTTCAGTTCATGCTCAACTCTCTTCCTTTTGGAGCAGTTACTCCTGGTTAAAACCTGCCCTCACCTCTAACCAGTGTTGCGCTTTCTTTATTTTTTATTTATTTATTTATTTATTTATTTATTTATTTATTTTTAGAGAGGGAAGGGAGGGAGAAAGAGAGAGAGAGAGGAACACCACTGTGCGGTTGCTGGGGGCCGTGGCCTGCAACCCAGGCATGTGCCCTGACTGGGAATCGAACCTGCGATGCTTTGGTTCGCAGTCCGAGCTCAATCCACTGAGCTACACCAGCCAGGGCGGGCTTTTTTTTATTTTTGACACCAGCCACAAGTGCTGTTGGGTCTGCTTCGTTGCTCTGTACCCTGACAGCTACTGGTTGGTCAGAAGCCTTTTACTCTCCTTAGACCAGGAAATTGTTTCCTGTTAGCCCTTTTGTTAAAGAAGTTCATTAGTAAGCACAAGAAGAAATTAGTATTTTCATATATTGAGAAATACATAGTTTTTTTTGTTGATTTAGGTTGTTCCCACACCTTGGCTATTGTGAGTGACACTACAATGAATACAATGTGCAAGCATCTCTTTAAGGCCCTACTTTCATTCTATTGGATAAGTACCCACAAGTGGGATTTCTGAGTCATATGGTGCTTCTACTTTTAA